AGAGGAGTTCCAGATGAGGAGGAGACACAGAGAAGTAATTAAATTGAAGCAAAGGTATGTGAAATGGAGTGGAGAGAAGAAGTGTGGGGCAGGTGGGGCACAGGGTAGAAGGTCTGTGAATGCCAATGTTAGGAATTTAGAATTCTCTGAAGGCACTTGGGAGCCATTGAAAGTGTTTGAGCATGCTGCTTGTAAGTGGCAGTGGAGTGCATAGTTGTGTGCTTGGAGCTGGTTAATGAGGCAGCAAAATAGAGGATGGGCTTTAGTAGGGAGAAACTGACAGCAGCATGGAGAACAGCCTTAAACAACTAAAGCAGTTGCCCCCAGGTGAAAGCTAATGTGGGCCTAAGGGTGGGGTAAGAGGAATGGAGGGTAGGGAATGGACATAAGTGGGATTTTACCATTAAATCAGTAAGACCTCACAATTTATTGGAAATAAGGAGCATGAAAGGAGGAGAAATTTAAAAATGGAGCTGAGGTTTCAAAACAGATTAACTGGAAGTCCAAAAGAAGGAACAAAAAAGGAACAGTGAATTTATGTGGGAAAATAAGAGCTTAATTTGAAGATATTGAATTTATGGTACCAAAATTCATGATGTCAAGCTTACAGTTCTTATGGTGGAAAATGGTGGACAGGTGCTGAGACAAGTCAGAGATTGAGACAAAGGTGTAGAAACCATCCGCATGGGGGTGTCATCCTCGTCAACAGTGAGGCTATGCCATGTGGAGCTGACATTGCACGTTTGATGGGAATGAGGCATATTTGTATGCTTTTAAAAATTTAAAAAGGTAAAAATTAAGCCAACATTTTAAAATCAGGAGGTTGTACTTAAAATATTGATTTCTGTCTTTTCTTTTAAAAATCAAAAGATATGACTATGAATTTGCATTGCCATGTGACAACAGCAAGCTAGAGCTGCAAAGAAGCTGCCTCCTTGAGATCCTAGATGAATTCTAGATTTCACCACAGCCCCCACTACCTCCCATCATCTCCTGGGGCTTTAAGATTAAAAGTCAGTTGCTAAATCTAAAGAGATAATAAGTAAATGAATGGTTGCCTAGAGCTCAGGGCAGGCAGGGAATGGGGTGTGGGGGGCTGATGACCAATGGGTATGGGTTTCTTTTCAGGGTGACGAAGTGTTCTAACATTGATTGTGGTCATGGTTGAACAGCTCTGTGAAGATGTTAGGTCATTAAATATGAAGTGTCCGATTTCAGATCAAAAGTGTAGTTTATTATATCTCAAACAAGAAGCAGTACAATTAGTCAAAGTATATGCCTAAACTAGCAACACAGTTTTGCTATCTTAACAGTAGCTTGTTTATGCCAACAGTTTAAGCCTGGAGAGTGAGTGGCAATGAAATCATGAAAGGCATTTTCCACAACTTGTTGAGAATTTAATATTTTTCCTTGCAAGAAGTGGTTCAAAGTCTGGAAGGAAGTGGTAGTCAGTTGGTGCAAGGTCTGTGAATATGGTGGATGACAGAGAGTTTCCAAGTCCAGTCTCTATAGTTTGAGCAGTGTTGTTTATGGGACATGTGGTCAAGCGTCATCTTACTAGAGGATTGGCCTGTCTCTGTTGACCAATCTCAGCCGCTTAATTGCAAGCCACTTCATCATTTCATCCAATTGGTCGCAGTAGACATCCGCCCTAATCAATTGACAGTTTTCATGAAGCTGTAGTGGATAATACCAGTGCTGGACCACCAGACATCATTAGCTTTTTGGGATGAATATTTGGTTTTGGACTATGTTTCACACTTCATCTTTATAAAACCATTGTGCTGAACACTTGCAATTTTCAAAAAGAACCCAGTTTTCATCACACATGACAATATGGTGTAGAGATGGTTCGCCTTTATGTCATGCCAGCAAAGAAGGGCAAGCTTTGAGATGATTTCTTTTCTGATGCCTATTTAATTAATGCAGAACCCATCTATCTAGCCTCTTTACCTTGCCGATTTGTTTCAAATGGTCCAATATTGTTGGAATAGTAACATCAAACTTTGCTGCTAATTTACATGCAGGTTGAGATGGATTTGCTTCCACTATAGCTCTCAGGTCATCATTATCCACCTTGGTCTTGGGTTACCCACATGGCTCATTTTCATTATTAAAATCACCAGAACAAAACTTCTCATCCCATCAACATACTGTGTGTTCATTAGCCACATCCTTCCCAAACACTTCATTGATATTTCAAGCTGAGCTGCATTGGTTCCATGATGGAACTCATATTTGAAAATAACATGAAGTTTTTGTTTTTTTTTTTTTTTGAGACAGAGTCTCGCTTTGTTGCCCGGGCTAGAGTGAGTGCCATGGCGTCAGCCTAGCTCACAGCAACCTCAAACTCCTGGGCTCGAGTGATCCTTCTGCCTCAGCCTCCCGGGTAGCTGGGACTACAGGCATGCGCCACCATGCCCGGCTAATTTTATATATATATATCAGTTGGCCAATTAATTTCTTTCTATTTATAGTAGAGACGGGGTCTCGCTCAGGCTGGTTTTGAACTCCTGACCTTGAGCAATCCGCCCGCCTCGGCCTCCCAAGAGCTAGGATTACAGGCGTGAGCCACAGCGCCCGGCCTGAAGTTTTGATTTATCTATCCATGGTTTCATAAAAATTGCCCTAAAAATTTTTTGAAAAATAATCAGAAGCCAAACCATGCATTTGAAAGACTGAGGATGTACCTTCACAATAAAAATAAAACAAGTATCAAAGTGAAATGTGAGAGATATCAACTGTCAAACTTTATACTTAAGGAAATTGGACATTTCATATTTAATAACCTTAAGAGTAAAAACTGTTAAACTGTACACTTTAAATGGGTGGATTGTGTGGTATGTGCATTGTCTCAATAAAGCTGTTTCTAAAAATGAAAATATAGTTGCTGTTGCCCTTGCAGTACTGGTTTTCTTATAGCAGAAAATATTTCTCTGTCAACATGCCTCTATCAAAAAGGAGAAAATGAAAGGTAGACTGAAAAGATTGTGAATTTCAAGAAAAATGGAAGAAACTATCTCTCTTTGTGGTAGTAAAGAATTTATGCATATTAATATGCAAACACCTGATCTCTTTATTAATGTACATTACTTTCCTAGCCATTGAAAGCACCTGATAAGAGACAGGAAAAAATGTGGTCATGCCCCACTCCCTGAGGTCCACCCACAACTAAGAAGAGAGAGAGAGAACAAAGGCAGTGAAGGGAAAGGAGTAATCAACATGGTAAAAGGAGAAGTAGAAGAAGCCAATAGATTGGATGCCAAGGAAGAGGAAGCTTCGTCAGCTGCTGACAAGAGGTCAAGGAGGATGAGGACAGAGAAGTCAGGAAGTCATGGGAGACCATCATGGGAGACCAGCAAGAGAGCCGAGAGTGATGAGGCCAGAGGGAGGTCCAAAGGCCCAGAATGCATTATTTAGGAGTTAGTATTTTATGTCAGGCATAGACACTGAAGGATTTTAAGTAGGGGAATGATATGATCAGATCAGAACAATGTAGATTATTTGTTTTCACATGAATTTATGCATGTTTTGAATTGCATGCAAGATGAACCAAGGTCACCCCAAGTTTTATTCTTCCCTATGCTAAGTTCTCCTTCAGTCTGAAATCCTCAGGCTTGTTGAGACCTCAGTTATTGATTTCTATCTAATTTATTCCTGTACTTGCTTGAACCAGGAAATATATATATGGTTGGTGTTTTCTAACACAGGGTTCCCAACCTCAGCACTATTAGATTTTGGCTGCATAATTCTTTGTTGTGGGGTGCTATCCCATGTATTATAGGATGTTTAGCAATGTCACCAGCCTCTACCCTCTAGATGCCAGTGGCACTCCCAGTTAGACATTGTCAATCAAATCACCTCCCACTAAGAAGCCTTAACTACATTTATCTATTGTAGCATCTGGGCCAAGGAGCTTAAGGCCATGTGCTGTTGGTAGAACATGCTGAAATGTGTCTGGCCTGGAAAAGAGGACCAATTCCTACTCCACACTGAGGGGTACAAATCAGATGATGCAGTGAGGACATAACAAACGAGAAACTCAAGGCCTCATTCTGTTTTAGCTAATTCGGTGGAATTCAGCCTTTCTGTACTTAGTCTTCTCAGTGAAAAGAGATGATTTCTGCAGTCTAAATATCCAACTTTTCCCCCTAAGGCTAGGATTCCGGCCATGGCTCATAGCCAAAGTGGGCACAGGATTTTTGAGCTTCAGAACGTGCTAGATATGGTAATGGGAGCTGCCTTCTACGTGGCGGGACTTGGAAGCTTGCCTCTAAGAAGAGGGTGGGAACAGAATGGTTTTCTCCTAGTGCTGTCAAGAGAGATCAGTAAAGCTTGGAGATGTAAGATAGTAGCTGAAGAGCAACTTGGAGTTGACTAGGAGCTCAGATAAAGTTTTACTTCAGATCCTCCTCTTATAGGAAAGTCTTAGCAGGTAAAGGAATGCTTCTCTTGGAATAAGGATGTCTAAAACAGATTAGATATGAAACGTTGATATCTTCCAGATTCCTCTTCTGGGTGTGTGTATACAGGACTGAGAGAGCAAAGGAATTTTATATGTATATGCTACCACTTCTATATTGATAAGGAAAATTGAGTTAAGACTCTTATCAAACTAAAACTATCTAACTCTATTAAACTGAGACTATTTCATAACCAGCTTTTATTCTGCAGAGTAGCATTATGGATATTGAGTGGCTTGATTCATTATTAACAATGGCTCCAAGCTGCCTTGCAGTGCAACCTCTTGTTGATATATACCTCTGTTATTGTTTAGTCCAGTGGTGGTCACTTTCACTGAGGCTGAAGGAAACCCATGCTGGTTTTTATTTTTAGTCTCATACTCCTTAATCCCTCTACTTCTCTAATTCATCACCTTCCATGGTAATGAACTGAGCCTCCAAGTACTCTGTGAGCAATGAGTAATGAGTGGACTTGATGTAAAATGGCATCATAAGAAAGGGCATCCATAAACATGATTTTTCCCTGTTTCATTTCAGGCACTTCTGGATCCAGTTGTGTGACAGCTGCACTAGGAAACACCTGGAGTCACAGTGTGAACACCCGGTTGATTCTCCAGTACTTGGATTCAGAGAGAAGACAGGTGAGTGTTTTGGCAGTATTCTCTGTGAAGTTCAGCAATCTTAGCAACTTCTGAAAGTATTGGCCACATTGTCGGTCCTTGGCCAGCACTGGCAAGGTGGGCATAAAGAAACCAAGATCCCTGCTTGCTCCAACACAGTGGGGAGATAAATCACACATAGGAAAAAAATATAAGAATAGATCTCATAGAGTTAGCATTCTCCCAATATTCATAAATGGCTAAAGACCACACCTCTAAGAATCTCCAGTTCTCCATCTCTAAATGATGATTTCACTAGATGATATTTTTTGAGGACTAGATAATTTGTATATAAATTGAATAGTGATGGTGCTTTTTCTTGGGGTATGTATGCTTTGAAAAACCTTAGGCTAGATATATCCTGCCAAGCAAATAAACTATTCCACAGTTACTGGGTACTTTTACATTAATGCACAAGCCTGTAGTTTAAAGTAGTGAATGATGCTAGAGAGACCTTCAAAAGAATGATGACTTTCTCAGAGCTTGCTATTTATGGCTTTTATCCTGGCCTCAAGTGAGAGTCTCCCTACTTCTATCCAGAAAGGTGATCTTTCTATTCCTTTTTAAATCTTCTTTCCCCACTATAAAGAAAGAGACACCACTGTCTGACCCCTTTGGAAAAATGTTTCATAATCAGGAAATTTAATTTTTTCCCTGATGTCTAACATCAACTTTTTCCTATTGTGTAAACAGATTCAATCACTTGCAAGCAGGAGCAAGAGGATGAAGTGATTGTTCTGATTTTTTGTATAGGACAGAATTCAGAACCCGTATTTGCCCATCATGCTAAACATATTAATATATCAAATTCAGGCAATTAAAAAGGCATGAAATATTGCACTAGTCATCCTTTCTGGAGGAGATGGTAGGAAGGGTGTTGTTGCTTTTACCTGCATTAAGTAAACTGGTTCTTTTTCGAGTAGGCAGGAATCATCAAAAACGACATGAGCTATTATTGCATATTCCGGACATAACTTTCTGCATACCGTTGGTTACAGACCATAGGATTCTTCTAGGTTTGCTTAGTGATCAGGTCAGCCATCTCCTGAGAAGATAAGGCTGCTGGTTTCCATTCAGGGAAACAATCTTGAGTATTCAGGCCCTGGTGGGTTCATTACCTCAGTGGTACCTTTTCCCTGATGATTCAAGTATCCATTACTTCTCTTTTTGGTGGAACATATTCAAAATTATTTCTGGAGAACGTAATAACCTTCAGTTTTTACTCTAGGTAGTAAATCATGTTAAATAAACCTTGTTTTAGCTTTTGGATCATTAAGGATTATCAAACACTCCTGCCTAAACTCTGTTTGAGGCAGCAAAATTCCTTGTGAATCAGTGTTGAGTCATTCATTTCCATGGATCCTTGACCTACTCCTTGAAAACTTGTAGTTATCTCTGTTTTTGATTTTAGATAGCATTCTTACCATAACACACTGGTTTTGTGATTTGGTCTGTTATATATGGTAGCATGGAATCAAGGCTCCCAGATTCTAGTTTTACAAATTCCAGTTAGAATGTATGGTAAATAAAGAATTGAGAGCTACATTTTAATTTTCCTTTTGTTTTAATAAATTAACCAATGTCAACAGGAAGCAGCTGGTAGGACAGATGCTATTAATATTATTTTATGTCTCTTTGGTGACTGGAAGATGTTGATGGCTCTTGGCTGGTAAGGTCAAAGGCAGGCCACTGGTCACAAGAAGAACCAGGAGCAAAGTGTGGATAGATCAGTGATAGTCTATCAACTCATATCCTATTAGATGTGTCAGTAGTGTTATCTTAATTTACAGAGAACAACTTGATATTATCATTACTAATCAATCAGAAGCAGACTTAAATGCCTTTGAATCATGTTTTCAAACAATAATTAGAAATTAATGTAAAATATAACCAGTGTTAAAATGGCCAATCCAGGCAAAGAACATACATTTAATTGATCTGTAGAAACAGGCATGCCTTTTGAGACCAGTTGTTAAATTTGCAGCCTAATAATGAGGATAAAGTTCGATATAGCAAATATGTCTCTATCTAATGACCTTATCTTGCCTTAGCAGAGGATGTACTTAGTGATTCACTGAGTCTTTCCTGTGATCTTATTTCATGACAAACTATAAAAGCCATGTGAAGATAAGCTTTTTCTGGGATACATGCACAAAAGAATACTTTAACCCTAGCCTCTAAAGTAATCGCACTAAATAATACTTTCTTACAACATTACTTAGTAGGAGAACATACCTGGATCATTCTAGGGTAGTCAGACCTCCAGGACACCATCCACTTGGAGAAGATACTAGGTATAATTTTTTTGTATTGGTTTATTTGGGTGTTTTTTTTTTTTCTCCCAATATACAAGCAGAGGCCACTACACCAAGGGATCAAGGTTATGGGATGAGGATTATGTTTTATCCCGTTTCTATGACATTGAGCTCTACACCAGGGCTCTTGAATGTGAGGCTTAGCCTGAGATCACAGGCCTGGAAGGGGGTTAGGTCAAGCTGCGCAGATCTTCGAGCTGATTAACCCAAGAGCTGAATTGTGTAGTCCGAGGGAAGGCGTCCTCCCTGCCTGATTATTTTCTTTACACCCTGGAAACTTTGTAAAATTATATAACCAAGAAAGAAATCTCCTTATCAGGGCACAAGCCAAGTTAATTCTCTTGTTTATTCTGCTTCAGTGTTTGCAAAAACTCTTTTAAGAAGCTGGGAAACATTTTCTTTTGGACTAATTTAGCTTTTTTCCATTTGACTTTTATTTATTCCTTTCCAACTCTGCTTCAATCCTACCCCACCCTTTCTGCAACATTTTTATTCTTACCAAAGATATGTCCTTAGAGCAGAATTAAAATGGCCTCTACTAGGTTTTGTTGTTATTGTTGTTTTAAATCATCAAAAATATATTTTGGTCTACCCTGTGCATGGCATGGGATACAAAGAAGTAGAAGACACAGTTTCTGCCCCTGGGGTCCTCTGGTCTAGCATGGAAGACACACACACACACACTCACACACTCGCTCATGGGTAATCAAAATGCAGTGCAGGAGTTAAAGAACAAACTAAAACTGAAGTACTATCCCAAGGCAGTGTTTGATTAATTATCTAAAGAGTGGTTAAAACAGTAACCGCTCTGAATCCAAAGGAAGGTAGAATCGACAGCAGCATACTAAGTCTTTTCAGGAAGAGGTGGGATTTGAGGACCACCTTAAAATCAATGCTTCTCAAACCTGGCTGCACTTTAGCTCATCACAAGGCGTTTATATAATACCAATGCCAGGGCCCCTCCCTGACCAGTCAAATCAAAATCTCTGCCCATGGGGCTGGGCATCAGTGTTTATTTTATTTGTAAAGTTCCTCCAGGTGATTCTAGTGTGCAGCCAAGGTTGAGAACCTCTGCCTTAAATAATAGATACAATTTGGTCAGTCAGAAAGGGGAGGTGCTGGGGTCGGGCGAGCGGCAGCAGAGGAAGAGCAGGAGGGCGGTCCTTGTCGTCAGAGGGCGCAGGCTGAGTTTTGCCTTGGAACAAGAGCAAAGGGTTTGGGCACTCATTCATTTGACAAACCTTTATTTAATCATCTCTTCTCTGCTAGTTAACTGTGCTAACTGGATGCTAGAGATTCAAAGATAAGTAAGAAATGGTTGATACCCTCTGCAGTGGTTCACAGCCTGCTTGGGGAATCAGATAAACATGTAAACAGGACTGTAAGAGCACTGTGAATTAAGTCAGCAGAGGACATGGAGAGCCCTACAGCTAAGGAAGGTTCTGGATCGATGAGATGAGTGAGGCAGTGGCATGCAGGGCGGACTGGCTGAGGCTTTCACTTGGGAAACTCTTGAGGTAACCAAGTGCTTTGTAGCAAGGGCTGGAAAAGCTTGAGTGAGGCTGGTTATGCTTGAAAGAAGGATGAAAACCCAAGGAAACATTCACAATCATACTATTTCTCATCAAATCCTCATAAAGGCTGTTCCTATAAACCACAGATGGGATTATATAAGTTTTCAAGTGCCCTAGAAGGAGTAATGAAGCAAATTAATCCTGACTCAGTCTCACACCCCCTTGATGAAATAAATATTATGATTCTCTTATTTTAACAAATTGGAAAAAGGCGACTTTTTCATATGGGAGGTTTATTTAAATGGCCTTTATAATAATATTTTCATCTTTATTTAGAAGGCACCCTGAAGTTACAGAACACTTGAAGGGTGAGCCTAAAGTGCCTAGTCAATTGTTGACAGGACCACTAATGTTACTCCAGCTCCCGATCCTCACTTGAATCCATAGGCTTTTCTGAAAGTCTCAGGTTGTTTTAAGTATTTGGTGTTTCCTTTCTGGTGATATAATTCTTCTCCCAGTGTCCATCTTATATTTTCAAAGACTCAACATCATCACTGTGAAGGCTTCCCTGACACCGAGAAGACTCTGTCCCTCTTCCCTCTGGCCCACATTTGTACTTAGCACTTGTCTCTATTCTTGTACTTTTGAGCCCTGAATCATGAGCCCTTGAGGTCTGTGACTGAATTTATCTGTGTACCTTCAGAGGCAAGGACAATGCTTGACACTTATGCAGTTGATACATTCATTTTTAAAGAGAGGGAGAGAGGGAGGGAGGGAGGGAGGGAGGGAGAGAGAGAGAGAGAGAGAGAGAGAGGGCGGAAAGAAAGAAAGAAAGAAAGAAAGAAAGAAAGAAAGAAAGAAAGAAAGAAAGAAAGAAAGAAAGAAGAGAGATTCATCTATGTGTGAATCCAGTCTTGAGGATGAAGGACATACTGTTTATTTAGAATCACTCTTCCCCATAGGAAGTGAGTTTTATAGTTTAATCATTCTATTTAAAGTATTAGTAATTGTCAGTTGAAAAGGTTAGCATCAAACCTTGACAATTACAAGCAGATGCCTATATAGAAATACTATAAGAATACTGAATGTAGGAATGCTTTTTTGCAGAATCAGCCTGTTGGCGACTGTGGAAAAGTAGGAGGCAGACTTCCCC